CTCCGGGACGACAACAGAACGTTTTGAAATACAAGCCCATTATCGTTGTAATGATTTCGCAATAGCTTAAGCAAATGTGGTACATCGGCAAAAACAAAAACCTTCCCGTCAGTTGTAGGATTCGAAAACCATGTTTGTTCTAAAAGGTATACAAAACTATAAATGTACTGAATGAAAGAGCTCGAAAAATTCACATACCGTTGGAAACATTAAGCTCTTTCCAAAGGGCTAAATTCCCACAACAGGATAGCCTACCTCTTGGAGCTGTTCAATCAAGTTGAACATAATCGATTTCGTCATCCTGCAGTCGTATGCGAAAAAAACAGGTTGCTTCCAAGAGCGCTTAAGTCCTCGAGCAATGACCATTTGCACATAGTTGCTTGGCTTTCGAACGGTGTCTGTGAGCGAATCGTACTCATAAGCAGGCTCCACTTTCATTTCATCGCTGCGCATTACGCTCAATGAAAAGCTCAAGACACCGTCTTCAAACTTAAGCTTTTGGCACCATTTCGCCATAGACGACTGACATGGAAGAGGAAATCCATGCTTAAGTAAATGGGTGTAGGCTCTTGGTCCGGCTGAATGCAGCGGTATGGCTGACGACATGTCTTTCCAAGACCAATGGATTGTTTTTTTTCGGATTTTCAATCTTTCGCATTTGACCTTCTGTGAAAATCGTTTGCAGATTCGTTCGAAGGCTTTTCAACTCAGCCACTTGAGCCTTTAGCGCCGCAATCTCTGCTTCTAATAATGCGATGCTGTGATCTGTGCCGAATCTAAACCAGATATGTATATATACTTTATATCAATTTTAATTTACTTTTATCATAGTTACTGAGTCTGTGTTGAGGCGTCAACAAATTTCGAAGAAAACTCCGAAACATTTGAATCATTGACCATTTCGACTACCATAGGGACAGCATCGAGGCTTAATTTAATTCTTTTTTGGTCTGAACCAGACACAAAATCCGCAGTGGAAAAGTGAAGGGCGCATATTTTCGCCCAAGGTTTCAACTCCACACCACACGACTCCGCCCATTTTTTTCTTTTTAATTCGTTCTTAGGTACATGGAACAGTTTTATGCCTTCTTTTGCCCATGTCTTATGACACAAGAAGCAACTTGCTTTTGACATACTGTTATTGCTAGAAACATCATACATAAATTTAAGTCTAAAGATTTCAGGTTTGTTGAGTATATATATATATATATATATATATACATATATATATATTCGATTTTATTTATTTAAAGCTTTTAAAACAAGTTGTCTCAGAGGCCTTTATCACGAAAATATTATTTGTGTTTTATTTAACTAGTTTTCTTAAATTAAAATTTTCTTTTTCGTTTAATTTATACTACTTTTCTTAAACTTGTTGTTGTGTTGTTATTGCTCCATGAAATGTGTGTGGTACTACGATCCCTGCAAACCATACTTCCAGACTAATCTGAATGGCTCGTGTCATGATGTTCGGGGATTTAAAAGTTTTAAATATGTACTTACATACGTATGAAGCTAACGAAAAACAGCGAACACTTTAACTAGTACAGCTTCAATCACTTAAGGAATAAAACCTATTAGTATAAGAAATATTCATATATTCCACTTGTACTTA